GACTCAACCTTCCATCCTTCCGAATTTGATAAATCGAGTACCCAGCTTGCCAGGGCAGGGGGGAATGTGTAGCCTGCACAATTAAATTGTAAACCGCCCAAAGAGTGCTTTAAATACTATAAGGTGGTATATAAAGAACACACTTGGAGGGTGTTTTTTTGGAGAGGGGATAATGTGTGGCATTTATGCCAGTTTTCTATGACTAAACACCAAGCAATGCTTTTATTGATGGAATCAAGAGTGAGGCAGTGTGCCAATCCACCTCCATGCACCCTACTCCCTGCTCCCTAAGATGGAGTAAACCTTGGAGTTGGTTTCTGAAAAGTGTTAAAGTTTGCAGTCATCCTGCATGTGCTGCTGTGTCAAGTGCTGATAGTTGCATCCATATTTTAACGGCACTTCACAGGCTTTTGTGTTTGCCGTTATTTGGCCTAGTTGCTGTTGTACATAAATTTCAAGGTTTTTCCTATCTGGGAATAACTGAATTAGGAGCAGAGGTGTTAATTCACGTGTAGGTTAAGACTTTCTGCAGCTAAGCATATTAATTGTTCCATACAGGGCAAGATATGACAATAAAATATCGTGTAACAGAACTTGTAAAAAGAAATGCTTGAGGGTAGAATTACAGTTGTGCCTCACTTAGCGATGTTAATTCGTTCCGAAAAAATCGCTGCTAAGCGATTTCATCACTAAGCGAAACGCGGTTTCCCATTGGAATGCATTGAAAACCAGATAATCCGTTCCAGTAGGAACGAATTACCGTCCTTAAGCAAAAATTGCCATAGGAAACATCGCTAAGCGAAACCCGGTTCCCCAATTGAAATGCATTGAAACCTATTCAATGCATCTCAATGGGGGGGGGGGAATACAACAACAAATTTAAAAAGAGTCAGAACAAAGTCAAATTTGGTTAAAAAGGGGTTTATTAAGTGCACTTTATGATTTCAAACATTTTAAACAGTAAACTTTAACTTTATAAATAACAGAAAAACATTTAAAAAACAGCAAACATGAGGCTGTTTAAACCATCGTTAAGCGAAACAGGGGACCCAACATGTAATCGCTACGCGAAGCATGGTCCCAACCATCGCTAAGCGAAAATCGCCCATAGGGACCATTGCTAAACGAAGCGCAAAAACGGTCCGAAAAAGTCATCGCTAAGCGATTTCATCACTAAACAGAGCGCCCGTTAAGCGAGGCACCACTGTAATACTATTCTGTAAGGGGAAAAAAACTTATATTTAAAATCAAGCACACCAGTGTAGTACCAGAACTTACTGTCTGTTGAATGCACACGTTTTACATGTTTACATATGGGCAGCTAGAATTAGCAGTAGGTTTGGTGTGTGTGTGTG